AGTGACAGCAGTGACACGGGGCAGCTCTGCCCAGGGGTGACACTGCAGCGTGAAGTCCTTAAATGTTGTAGAGACACAAAAGGAAAGCCTGACTTTGGGGCTCTTCTGAAATGAGAAAGCAAAACACAAATGTAAACTCATCCAGCCCAGCCTATCCAAGTGTGTTAGTTCCAGGTTTTGTAAAAAGAAGCTGCTTTGGAGTAAACCTGACCTGACAGTGACCTTCAGAACAGCCTGATCTTCCCAAAGGAGCTTCCTAATTTGTACCTGTAATGAACACATCATCCATACACCCCATTCCTGCATCGGAACACGCCGGGTTTGTTCCATTCTGTGATGAAATACAGATGTATTTCCAGACGCACCAGGAAGCTATTTCTAAATCATCTTTTGCCCCACTGCTGACTAAATAAAGTGATTCCAGGCTTTCAAGATTTAAACCAGGTTCCTCTCTAAACAGTTCTTGAGGGTTGCTTTACAGTCCCTGTGACCGCAGAGAGAGTCCTGCTATTTCCCAGGATCCTTGCCCAGCACATGCAGAAAATTACCAAGTTAATAGCTCACACTAACCATTTTCTCCCACAGCTTTCAGAAGCTTTACTCTGTGCTGCAGTGTGCACAGCCCTCACGCTGACAGAAAATCTGAAGCCTGTCCCTTTCTAACCATATGGTCCTTGTGTTCTTCCTAGCAAGGCAAAAAACCCTCTTCCATATGCTTGTTTCCCAGGGCCGGCCTTTAAAAAGCTCAGGGAATGGAGCCACAACACCTCTGAAGGGAAAACTGGGACTAACTTCCCCTGTGGGTAGTTACCTAGAGCAACAAATTTCGTTGTTAGCAGAGGCTTCTGGCTCTGTGAGCTGTTGTGGCTGTGCAGAAATGTGTTGGCGACTTCTCCAGCCATCGTGTCAGGGGCTCACTGCTGATCATCCCATTCTCGTTATTTTTCCTTCCTTCACCCTTCAGACACAGACTGCCTGAGCCACCCCGCTGCAGTGAAGTGCCTGATGAGAACTTCTTTATGTTAAAATAAGAGAGAAAATAGTTTTCAGTATTTTTGATATTTAATGAATGTTTGTGTCCCACCAGTGTTGACAGAAATACCCGGAGCATCACCCAGGTGGCTGCATAGCAGCCTCTCCTCCTTTCCCACCATTTAGGTCCTGCTTTTATGAGCAGTGTTGCAAGAGGAACTGGAAAGATCCTCTGTTTCCAATACTGACTCTCTGCATTTGAATGGTGCTTCATTTTGAAGTCTTGGACTCCATCCCCTTCAACTACAACATTTCTTATGGAAAAATCCCTTTGCTCTGTGTAAAATCACCAACCATGACCCTTCTCAGGGCTGTGGCTGGCCACTGGTGTATTTTGGTTAGATTGGAAAAGCAAATTAGTTCTCCTGGAGTGTCTAGGCCAGGTTTCCTAAACTGATGCAAAGGGAGTTAAAAAGTTCCTTTCAGGAGTAGCAAGACTCTCTTCTCTCTCTCTCTCTCTGGCAGCAATAGGAGCAGGAGGGTGATTTTTCCTGACCTAAATCCATGTTTATTCTGTGCCATTCCTCTGTGTCTCCCCATTCTGGGATAGAGCAGTAGCAGACAGTTTTCATGGCTCTGGTGACCTTCCTGATGCCTTCTGGCTTTCCAGAATCATTTGGCCTTATGTGGATGATGGTGATGAAAGGTTAGAAGAGTTAAGACACTGAACTTGAAAAAGACAAAACTTAAAAGGAGTGAATTTATGGCTTGGTAGGCTTTTATTTTGCATGATTTTTATGTGATACATCAGGGAAATACATGAATGAAATATTAAAAATCTAATTAGGACAAATCCAAAAGGTTATATAATGATTTTCACTGTTCTCTGGAACAGTGACAGAAAAAGTCACACTTACAATAAGTGATACCCATATCAAGAGTTCTTAGACTAAACATTGTGCAAGCACAAACTCAACTGACCCATTTTTGGTGCTGGCAGAGTTTCCTCTGGGAAAATTCCTTTTGGGGTACTTTCTCTCCAAGTACTGTTTTCACCTGAAATTCTAAGTTATTTCAGCCTGACCACACTGACAGTTTGGGGATCTTTTAAACCACTATTCAGAACTTTTTACTGATTAAAGCAGATACACAGACATCCTATTTCACATATATAAGGATGTACAAACTGGTTTTGAGGGTTTTTTGTGTGGTAGCATTACAGGCATGTGAAGGTGAAAAATGAGGGGCCTATGACTCTTCAAACTGCCAATTCCAAAGCTCTCAATAAAAACAAACTGATCCCATTGCAGGGAGCACAAATGAAGTCTTCCTTTTATGTACTTAGGGACAGGCATGAGTTTAAGACTTTTTGAGCTTAAACAACATTAAAGCTCAAGTCTCCTTCCCCCTGATGAGCCGAGACAGCCCCTCAGCAAATTGTTGCAGGGAAATAACTCAGCGTCTGGTCATCAACTCCACCATATTTTCCTCACAACACCATCAGCAAGCAGATGCTTTGTGTAATCAGAAATTCCTGCTTACTAACAGAGAAATCACAAATATGACACATTGCCCAACATTTGGGTGTTGTGTTGTTTGTTTTTTTTTATTGTGGGATGGCTACAGGAATTTTAAATATGCAGTATAAAACTGGTGAGGGAGTCTGTCTTCTGTAACTTTCCTAAAAACATTGAGTCTCCCCAGTCACAATTTCCAGACCCTTTCTCTTGTCTCATTAAGCCAATATCCCTTTAGAAATAAGGCAATAAATCCCTTTTTTTTTTTGGAACCTGATGACTTTTTATTAGCCCACTGCTGTGGCCTTGTTCCCTGGGTCTTTGTCCAAGTCATCTGTGAGGTCTGGCCAACCCACCCTAGAGAGTTTTCTCTCTAGGCAGCTATCTTATTTTGGATATCCTGGTTTTCACAGATTTAAAGTTCTGTTCCTTTCCTGTGGATAGGACATGCTTTTGGACAGCCATCCTTTCTTTCCAGAGGAACAGGATTTCCCCAGGACCTGAACCAGCTGTGGAGGAGCCTCTGAAACACATTTAAGAGAGCAGAAAAAGAGCATTAGAGTTGTTCATCCCCTTCCTCCTTTACCTCCTCAAGTTCTTTGCAGTCTTATAACCTTCCCTCATTGGTTTCCCTGGCCTTCAAAGCAAGAATTCATGTGTGTAACTTGCTTTTTAAAAAAATATTTTAATTGTGTTTACCCCACATGATAAAATATGTCTTTGTTGTCGAAGGTTTTTGCATCACTGACAATACCAACCCAGTTGGTTTTCAGAATTCCTTTGCAGGATCAAAGGAAAACTGCCACCAGGCACAGAGCAGGTTAATTTTATACATCCTCTTGTACCCTCCAACTCATCTTAAAGCTGGTCAGTAAGGTGGAAGCCACTCTTGATCTCAGAATCCTGATATGTTCTGTAATCTCTCAGGGCTGGGAATTAGACACTGGCCTTCTCAGGGTGCCAAATGCTGAATGTTAAGAACATCTAAACGTTGTATAAAGCTGTGGTTTGACCCACTAAGGATATGCAAGAATAGAAAAACCAGTTTATCAGCATTTTATCACTCAGGAAAAGCTGTTTTTTCAGGCATATCTTGAAAAGCCCAGGCAAACGTGCCCCTAAGCCTGTGAGTGTAACCTTGCCTGGGATCCCCAGGAGCACACCAAATTTCAAGGCAATTTGAGCAAGTGTGTGGATTTTAGAGCACTTACAGTGTCGACCTTTAAAGAGAAATAGGTACTCAACCTTGGAGAACCTGCACTCCTTGATAATTAACAGGAGGATTTAGTTTTTAAATTGTATTGTGGGGCTGTAAAACTCTTTGTTGATATTATTAAAATGGAATTTTGGAGGTGTGTCAGATTTAGATTTTGCTCTTACAGATTCTAATGAATAACACTGCTTGGAATATGTCAAAGCAGGGCTCTCCTTGAGGGTCTGTGCCTCCTGTATGAGCACAAAAGAATATTGTGGCATTAACTACAAATGTTGTGATTGTTGTCACACACCCCACAGCTGGTCAGATGTTGCTGTGTTGTGGCACCACGTGGTTCCAGTGGAGATCAGGTCCTTACAGTGGTAAATATTGCAAAATAACCCCAAAACAGTAAAAACAAAAGTAAAAAGGCAGTATAGAAAAAAAGATAATGTGACAGAAAAACAGAAACAGAGGTAGAAAGAGAAAAAGAAAGTTCTTTTCATCCCTGAGCACCTCAGTACCTTTCCGTGGACATACATGTGTACTCTGAAGTCAGAAATCTTCACTTATTTAATGATATTCGATTTCTTTCACATATCTCAGTCCAGTTTCAGGCTTTCCTAAGAACTGGGATAACATGTTTAGCAATGCTTCTTTTATCCTTCTTGATGTCACCAGTCTTGGATAGCCAGCTGGATTCTGTGGTCTTTCCAAGCGTGTTCTGGTTGGAGTCCAAGCTGGAAGGAAAGACTTCTAAAGCAGTAGGATGTTTTCTCAGATTCTGGAGACAGACTTGCAGTTGGTGTAAGTGGCCATAAAACTTCTTTTCTGTCACCTACTTATGTCTTTTTTTGTTGCCAATTCATCTGCAAAACCCTCTTCTTGTGGAGAGTGCAATGTGCTTGTACTGAAGATGGTTTTGCTGGTGTGGAACTGCCCTTTCCAGGGGGAAGTCTAAGTTCTTCATCCACAGTGTTTATTTTTTCTTGCCTGTCATTAATACAAATGTGAGATGGACCCGTCCTAGACCCTCCTGGCTCCCCAGTAGGTAGGAAAACCCCAGGTTGGAATGTGTCAAGTGTCTGCCATCACCCTTTGCTTGCAGACCTTCAAGCAGCATCTTCCTCTCCCTCTGGCAGAGTGTCTCCTACAAGCTATCCTGAAAAATTAATATCTAGTTCCTTGGACAGGGGGACTGTGACATAGATACATTAAATAATTCTGTCAAGGGCTTTTTGTGTGCCATTTTTCTGAATGTGTTGATACAAGAATATAGTTGATAAATATAGTCTGGCCTGCTTTTGCTTTTTTAGAATCCTCATTGCTTGTTGTTCAGCATTTTCATCATAAATTCCTGTGCCTTGAGTGGTTACTGAAGATGAAAATGTGGATTCAGAGCTGCACAGGTAATGTCACAAGTCTTCAAGTGTGTGTGTGAGTGTATGCAATGATCTGTGCACACACACATAAAAATCAAACTTCTGATTTGATTTTATCTGCCTAATGTTCCTCAATTCACCACCAGAAACAGTAACAAAGCAGTGGAAAGGAAGTGGTGTCTGCCCTGCTTCCTCCAGGGGGAGTTCACTGTTCCCAAACCAAAGGGGCAGGTTTTCATCCATTAGAGGAAGTAAATATAAACTGAGCAAGATACATTTACATGCTTTAATCAAAATAATATACATTAAAAACTAATGGAAATATAGTTAATATTTTAAAGTAGTTAATAGTATAAATAATTTACCTGAATTCACAGGCAGATTTCTATGTGAAAATTGCCAAGCCTCAGTGACTCGAATATTTTTTCTTTCTTAGTTGTTCTGTGCGTGTCTTAGAAGATTTCCTTAGCTTGAAAAGAGCTGTGGAAGGAAAAACCCTTCAGCCTGTTGGCCTGACATTGGAGACACAAATTTGAATATCACATCAGACAAGTTCACTTCTTACTGGTCTGTCACCCCTGGCAAGTTCTTTGTCTTCTAAAATGTAGGTGTTTTGGGATGTGGAAAATTACCTTGTCTGTACTTTTCATGGCCATGTGGTATTAAAAGACAGCAAAAGTAGACAACTAACAAGGGAACATCTTTACAAGAGGGCAAAGAAGCATTTAGACCTGTGGGAGATGACTCTTTCCCCCTCTCTCTTTTTTCCCTGCACACACACACACACACAGCCCAGGCCGTGAGTGATCAATGCTCTGCCGGGCCGGGCTCCTGCTGCACTCACCGGCTTCTAACAAAGCAGCTGCTTCCGTGGGCTCCTGGAGCAGCTCCTCAGGACAGGGCAACATCCTCCCAAACCCAGGCTTTGTTTGCATCCCGACTGCAACAGCACACGAGGGGGAAATGGGAATTCAGAGCTGCCAGCTACACTATCTCCGCTATCAGCTCACCAATAAGGCCCAGTACAGACCCGCAGAGCCTCTGGATAAATTGTATTTTCCAAGGGTTAATTAAGCTGTCTTGAGCTTCTGCATGAAGGGGAACAAACTGGCACTTGCAGCGTTTTCTGAAACCTGCTGTCGACATTGCAGTCCCTGCTGCTTTTAGCTGTATCGATCCGCTGCCTGACCTGTGAAATCCTTGATGGCTGCTAACACTGGAAGCTTACTGGAGCTTTCCAAGGGAGCTTCAGGACAGCTTGTGTAGTCAAGTACAATTACCTGTCCCTCCAGGAGAGCCAATTAGTTCACAAAGAGCTGGAGCAGAACAAATGTTTTGTGTGTGATTTAGAATCTTTAAAAAAAAAAAAAAAAAAAGGGGCTTTGTTCTGTCTCATTCTTTTGTTTCTAATTTTATGATTATTGCTCCGCTCGTGACAATCCACACCGCGTTTCCTTACGTGTCTCATCAAGGACTACTTGGGCATGAGAAAACAGATTTACAGTTATTATTTTTCCGACAGAAAAAAGCCTCGTGTGCGATGCAAAAAGCCAGCCTTAGCCATTTTAAATACCATGGACCTAAAAGTAGAATGCTCACATACTGGATATTTTTAGAGCCGTAGATTAATGTGTTTAAAACACGCAGCATATGCAGATATTTGTGCTGTAGTTTTTATAGCACATATATACATATATGTATATATAGTTATACACAGATCTCACTTGAAATTCTGGGGCTTGATTTGCTGGGAGTGAAAAGGCAGCAACTGTTGTACCAAAACCAGACCATAAAAAGAGTGGAAATTAAAGAGATCACCGTCTATAACATAACCCAGTTAACGCAATATTTATAACTTTTAAAAATAAAAATTAAAGACGGTGAGCCAAAATTTCATCTCTGTCACTCTGAAGAATGGTACTGTTTGGCTCAGGTTCTCTGGGGCTAAAAGAGCAGCACTGGCTTGGGAACAAACCTCTTCAATTAATCTGAACTAATAATTCAAATAAGTAAGGACCCAATAATTTAAGTGGTCAGTTACAGTGGACCGATTCCAAACTCCGCAATGTTCTACATATAAATCAGAATACAGCAAAGGTGGTTGCCGTAGGAAAATGTGGAATGTCATCAGAGGTGTCCTGAGGTCAGTGTTGCTGAAAATGAAATCCTTGGGGGTTTTGATTTTTTTGGGAGCTTGGTTGTTTGTTTTTAATCTTCCTTTAGAAGAGTGGTAGAGAGTAGTTGGGCAGGTAACTGTAACTTTAACTGTAACTTTTTTTTCCTACCAAAGTAAATGGTAAAAAATCCTTACCTTTTATTAACCAGAATAAATTATGATGTGATTTATGTTAGAAAATTGGGAGCAATTGAATTCGCAGCTGAAGAAAACTCTTGAGTCAGTCTGTATGCATAAGAAAAAAGGCTTCCATGCTCCTGTACTGGTGAGGACTTTGTGAGAGCTGGAGTTTGCAACCTTTCCCTAAAGCATGAGCTTATGCAGGAGATGGCTGTTGTTTACTCACTTCCAGAGTTTTTTTTTTATTGTCACCCTGAATGTCACCAAATCATAGGCATCAATTTGGGAGAGGAATATAAGTTTGGCTCAAGTGTTTTTGTGAGCTCCTTTTCGTCAGGGATAGAGCAAGTTCCCACCACTAATTCAGCCTCTACTCTGATCAAATGGTTGGTGAGGGAAGGAACCACGTGACCAAAGCTTGTCTGGCTTCCACTGAGTTGCCAACACACTGCACCGAGTGTCAACAAGTGCCTGTTCCCCCCTGCATTCTGTGCTCTTGTGGTAACACTGCTGAGCCATAAAGCCATCAATTATTTATTTGGGAAGCGTTGCAAGTGTGAGTGGCATTTCTGGAACCTGCAGCTTCACAATTAAGAAATAAAGCAATTTCTTCTACTGTCAGTGGCCTGTATCTCTGCTTGCTGAGCTGCATGCTGGGCAGCCAGAGGAGGAATTGTAGGGGCACAATGCCATGGATTTGCTTTGCTGGTGTAATTACTTGGCAGCATTGTCAATATTGTCTACCTCACTTAGCAAAAAAGGGATATTACTGTGAAAATCTCAACAATTATATTAAAGGAAGCCTTACTCAGGAAGCATCAAAATTGTATTGCAGCAAGCCTTCAGAACAATTCCTTTACTTGGATTTCTCCCTCTCTTCCTTGCTGCTTTATCCTGAGTCCAGAAAAACCCCATGATGTGGTGGGCAGAAGTAAGGAGTGAGTGTTAACCAGCACAAAAGCTGCAGCATTCCTGGCAGGGCAGTGATTTTTGTCCTTTGGGTCAGGGGGAAGCCCAGCACAGCAGCACTTTCAAACTGACTTAGAGGAGGAGAAGCTACAGAGGAGATGGGCTTGGGAAGGGTCAGCAAAAGCAAATGCTGAGGTGTAACTGTGTGTGGGAGGGAAATGTTTTCCCATGTTGGTGGTACCAAATATTCTTGATAGCAACAGTCAGGGTCCGATTCTGGAGACTCATTTGTGCATCTTTGGGTTTCTGACTCACATCTCCCTTACAGAAGAGCAACTCGTTAAGAAAAGATAAGAAGCAATTCTTACCATCAAAATCTAGCAAATATTCACTGATTAGGTTTTGCCCCTTGATGCCAGAGCAGGCTCAGATCTCTGGTTCAGGAAAATTTAGGCAGTGGCTGCGTGCAGGGAGGGAGAGGAGCTGGCAGTGGGCCAGGAGAAGCGTCAAAAGCTTGTGCAGAAATGGTTTCTGGGGCTTCCAGGTGCAAAAGGCACCTTTTGTCCTGTAGTGGAACAGTCACTCAAGAAGATGCCACATTCCTGTGAAATGGAGCCTTTGCCTGACTACACCATGGAATTGAAGGATTCTGATACTGAGAGGTGCAAAAAGTCAAATTTGGGTTGGTTGAGTGATAGAGGCCTTTTGAGAAATTCTCATTCCCACACCAAGTGGTTGGAAATCAGCAGCAGAGTGGCCTGGAGCCTGAGCACTTCATCTTTTGGACTCTTTTTTTCCCATTCCTTTTTCCCCCAGACTGGGTTTCTCCCTGCAGGTCATACTTTCTTCTTCTATCGTTTAAGCAGTTCAGTCATCTTTTTATTCTTTTACTACAAGCAAGACACAGAAAAAAACAACCAACCCCAAACTTCTGTTTTTCTGTAATTGCAGCAGCAACTTTCATTTGAATATTTCAGCTGACTGAGGAAATTTGACTGAATAGCTCTCGTGGAAGAAAAGTATCTGTGCTCCACAGTTCAGTGAGCTACTGGAAGTGGTGCCTGGGGGATGTCCTGTCCACTGGTATTAAATTTGTAAAGCCTGGCACTACAGATCCATGTGCAGCTAAGTTAGAAAGAAAAAGCCCAGTTAAGGTGTAAGTGTAATGTAAGCCAGGATGTTTATTAATTAAACATTTCTGCTCATTCCTCAGCATTAAAATTGTTGGAGCTTTTCAAGTGCAGGGAATACTTCATTTCACTTATCCACAGTAAGCATGAACTTCCTGGCCAGAGAGGTGGTCACAAAAAAACCCCCAGACTTAATGTGAAGTCTACACTGTCCCCACCCACTGCTGCAGCTCTCCAGTGCTCTCCATAAAAAAAACCCAAACCAAACCAAAATAAAAACAAACAAAAAAAAAGGGTTTGGGCAGGTTATAACCCTTCTCCCAACATCTGTGACATAACACTGTCCACAGAACACTTGGGCTTTAATTGTCTGCAACGCCTGTCTGGAAATGAACCTTCTCAAAGCGAGTTTGAATCTTCCCTTTTCAATGTAAGCAACATTTTTATGTTCTCAAGGAAAAAAAAATCCCCCAGCATTGCGAGGAGTGCTGTGTTCCACTTTATGAACCCTGAGGTAATGGCTCTGCTCAAGTGTGTGCAGGAGCCTGTTAGTGCCTGGGAAGACATTTGGTACCGATTGACTGGGAACTAAAGCATCGTTTTCCCTCTCATCCCAGCATCAGGATAATATTCCATTGGAGCCCCTGGTTTGATTGATACATCTCAGCAGCAGGACACTTAGGCTTTTATGTCAGAAAATGAAAATGAAATATTTTCTGTCGCTGAGCACAACAGCCTGGCACGCAGTAGTTAAAATCCAATGAAGTTCCAATCAATCCTGTAGTTACTAAAATACCTAGAATGTTGCATTTTTGTTCTTCCAGGAAAATGCCATAAAGTTAAAATGGTGACTAGTCAGTATTTGGTCTTTTAAGGCTCTAAAATTTCCCAGCCTGCCCAGCTGCTAAATATAGACAAGCAGTTGCATAAAAAGCAGTTTGGAATACACAATATCCAACTCACCCTTTCTGCAAACTAAAAACTCTGTATTTTACAAGCAAATTTGACCTACTGATAGTCAGACAGATACATTTTGCCCCTTCCTCAACTAGGGCATCGAGTTCTAAAAAGCCTTTCCTAAAAATTCTAATAATCTAGAAAATATTTAACTTGAATAAATCCCCTCGGCATTGGGATAATCTTGGATTTTTTTTAAAGCAAAAAAAAAGTAAAGGTTGTTTCAACTTTTTATATGAACTGCCTGTCTTGACAAGTTCTTAACTTCATTATATTGTGCCTCATTAGTACTTTAAAACCTGCTGAAGCTAAACTGCATCTTACTTGCCTATTAGTTCAACCTTAGGCCCATCAGCAGAGCATTACCCAATGTCTTGGGAACAATTAAGGCAATGCCTTCCCTACCAAACAGTTCCTAAGTGGACAAAACATATTTAACAGTAGAGTTTGTGGCACATGGAATGGAAATGCAATGAAAGCTACTGGGAATATGCATTAATCCTAATGCTGAACAAGTTCCTAATAACTCACTTGAAACTCCTGGGGATATAGTATCAAGTATGTACTCTCTAAATGCTACTAATGAAACATTTACAGTCTGCAGTGATAAAAGGGAAATAGAGGAGTCTGTGGCCAGTTAAAGGGCTTCTTGAACAACACCCAGAATGCAAACGTAAGATGTATGTGATTATTGATCTTTTCAGCAGAAAGACTTTATGAATAATATTCATACCATACCATTAGAAGCTAAAGTAGCCTGGGAATGAAGCATCAGCAGGAGAGCAATTGATGGATTTAGACAGGTCAGACAATGTCATTCTGAAAGCAGCTAATCAATATGGACAAATGTGTCAGAAAGGTGATTTGAAAAATGACTTTATAATAAGGGAAGGAAAAAAAGGCAGGTTCCTTAGGTCCCCAATTTTTCCTCCCTCAGAATTGCATATTATTGAAACAAGGTTGTTAACTGTTTCACGTTTCCACAAGCAGCAAAAAGAAAAAAAAATTAAGCTAAAAAACCCCCCAGGGACCAAGCTCCGGTTTCACCCACTGACAAGAAGTGACTGGGCTGAGCCCTGGGGAGTTTTGCCCAGTGCAGCCACCGTGGTGTCCCTGCTGCCCAGTTTTACAGCTGGGCCACACATTATCCCACCTCCTGCTGAATCCTCTCTGAAGCTGCAAACTTACCCCCAGGATCTGGGCACCATTTTGTTGGAAAGGGTTTTTCCAGCACTCCTGAGGAGGCACAGCTTCCTGAGCTGGGTTCTTTTTTGGTCTGATGGCTTTACCTTGCTGGTCTGGGGAGCTTTGTTCTCATTCCAGTGGTGCAAAGAGATCAGAGAGATGTACTTGGTTTCCAGTTGGACGTTTTCAGGAGCCAACTGCCAGCCTTTGGATATTGTTAAGCTTTTGTCTTCCAAATTAAGAAGTGCACATCCCACTGAAGTGTGATGTTCTTTGCTCTTTCAGTTCCCCGTGGCCCATCAGCTGCCTGAACAGCACCTGCTTGTCAGGGCTTGTTTGATTCCAGACTCTGTTGGCCAAACTTCTGCACTGGCACCTCTTCTCTCCAAAACCCAAAGAACATCCAGTGACTAATGTTGAGGGCTCCAGGTTAATGCTGAGGAACTGTTTCTACTTCTGACAAAAACTTCCTCTGTGACCTATTGGACAAGTAGCCAAACCTGTCCTTTGCTACCATTTTCACCTCAGTAAAATAAGTAGGAATGTACTTCACCACTTGAGAAGTTCATAGTTACAAAACTCCCCTGAGACATTCCAAAGGAAGGAGTAAAAGAAAAGGTTTTAAGTACTTAGAGGATCGTTGTTATTCCTGTTTTTGTCAAAAACATGGCTAT